TCTTTTGCTTTGTCTCAGTTGTTTTCCAGTACAGCCAGAGGTTTTATGTTCTGTTAAGTCATTTTTTTTTACAGCCATCAGGGAGTCTACTTTCCCTCCACTGTTATTTTCCAGAGGGTGGAGCTGAAATAAACAGAAGGCAAGTCACCGGGGGTCTCCCAGTCTCTAGAAATAGAATGCATCTTTCTTTCCTTCGCTTTTCTTTCAACAGCTTTTTATTGGACCCTAGTTACTAAGATGCCTCCTAGGCACTTGGGATATGGTGATCAATACAGCTTAGTGTTTCATCGTGTAGCTTTACTATAATTTGTATAAAAGTTTTTTGAAGGGCATTGAAATTATTACCCATTTTTACTGTTATAAACAATCATGTAACAAGCTTTGTTCTTCCTCTCTTCCTTCCTATGTTTCTTCCTTCCCTCACATTAGGTGGGAGTGCAGGGTCAGGGTCTGCATTGTTTAGTGTGTTTGGTAGGTATTTCCCTGAGAGGACCACGGGGGTTGTGTTATAAAGACAGCTAAAAAGTGATCAGACATTTAACATCAGTGAGACACTGTGCTAAGCACTTTATGTGTATTAACTCATTGATCCTCATACTAATCCTATAAGCTAGGTGCTACTTTCATTCTTATCTTACAGATGAGGAAACTGAGGCCCACAGGAAGTATCTAAGCCTCCCATGGGCATTCTGGCCTTGGAACCAAGCTGGGATTTGCACAGCTCCATGAGGCAAGTTGTATTAACCCCATCTCCATGAATAAGAACATTTTGATACACATTAACAAACTTGACCGGGATCATAAACTAATAAAGGAGGGTCAGTGTTTGAATACGGTCTGTGTCACTCTAAAACAGGGGTTTCTAGATCCCTCATGCACATTTCTGAATTCCTCCAGGAGAGTGTCCTGAGGTGGGTCCTCCTGCACTTGCCTTTCTCAGCTCCTCTCTGCCTTCCACTGGAGTGAGGCGGTCAGGGCTGGGAGGTCTGCCTCTGGTGGGTGGTGCCACTATACGGACCGTCACAGTCTGGGTCCTGGGACGCACTGGCATTCCTCCCCTCTCCTCTCATCCTAGATCACTTTTTGTTTCTAGAACTCTCTCAGCTGGGCACAGTCTTGGTTGTGGGTAACAGAAAACTTTACTGGAAGAGGTCTTAGCAGTAAAGAGAGTTTATTGTCTCACATGACTGAAAGGCTCAGAGGGAAGATGACTGTCATTCAGGACTCCTGGCTCCGTTTCTCCAGGATGCTCTGAGCTCTGCCCTCCTCCGTACGTTGGCCTTGTCCTTGTCTTGTCCTTGGGCTGGTTTGCTCTTTATGGAAGCCAAATGGCATCCAGCAGCAACAAGACTGGATACTTGCTTCTTCCACTGTCATTATACAACCAACCTGAACTTGACTCTGACTGGATCGTCTTAGGTCATATACTTGTCCTTGAACCTGTCATGTGCCAATGGGCATAATCCTTGGGGAGGGGGTGAACCCTCTCCTCCCCATCCCTTGCCTCCACTTTTGATCTTGCCTGGAAGCTGCCATTTTTTAAAAATGTCTTTTTTAAAAAATATTTAATTTACTTTTAGATAGAGAGGAGGGAGATAGAAAGAGAGGGAGAGAAATGTTGATTGGTTGCCTCTCGCATGCCCCCCAACCCAGAGTGCTGGCCCACAATCCAGGCATGTGACCCCACCAGGAATTGAACTGATAACCTTTTGGCTTGCAGGATGCCATCCAACCCAGTGAGCCACACCAGCCAGGGTGAAGCTGCTATTTTAAAGACAGTGACAAGAAGGGTCCTCCTGTTGGGGGAAAGCTTCAAAATTCTAAATTCAGGATCAATTCTGAAGAACTGACATGCAGCCTTATTTAAATTCCTAAGAGCTTTAATAGGAGAGACTTACATGCATGGGGAAAACAGCTGTTTTCTCCCAGCGGTGGGGACCGGGAAAAAATCCACACCCCCTCCCAGGACAGGGGCTCTTTTTTACAGGGGTTTAATAGTAAAACCATATGGTGGGTCGTCACACAGACCACCAGAAAGGACAATGCATTCCTAAGTTAACAGATAACACCAGGCAGTTGTCCACACTGCGCCTTTATTAACCTCTTTCCTGGGGGCATTCCCCCTTTCTGGGTAGTCAGCCAAGCCTGAGGCTGCAGAGACTTAGACAGTCACAGAAGGTTAGACAGAGAGCCCAACATCTCCCAGACGCCTTTACTACTGGAGCCATATTGCATCTCTGACTTCCCCCACGCCAGGGGTCCCCGAGCGGGGACTGCCCAGCAGGAAGGGAGCAGTGAGTCAGCGAGCTGTATTTGCAGCCGCTCTCCGTCACTCACGTTACCACCTGAGCTCCACCAGCCCCTGGTGCCAAAAAGGTGGGGCACCGCTGCCCTACATCTCCACATCTTGCCAGCAGATTGGCATTCAGGCCGCCCACATCATGACAATCTTCGTGGCACTGGGTGTTCTGTGCAGAGAATGGGGAAAATACGTTCCCACCAGGATCATCATTATAGATCCCACCAGGATCATCATCATAGATCCGTGTGTGAGGGAGCCGTTAGAAGCCGTGGGGAGTGGGGTGTGGAAGGCAGGCTGGGTGGGCAGGCTTGCTGGAGCATTTTCAGGTGGGTGAGACGTCATCCCAGCTCACATGTATGAGCCTTGCCCCATCCTTGCCGAGATGCTCTTTCCTACCATGCAGGGAAAGATTCTTTTCAACTCTTTTTTTTTTTTCAAGGGAATTTTATTTATTTATTTATTTTTAAAAAGATTTTATTTATTTATTTTGGAGAGGGAAGGAAGGGAGATAGAGAGAGAGAGAAACATCAATGTGCGGTTGCTGGGGGCCTTGGCCTGCAACCCAGGCATGTGCCCTGACTGGGAATCAAACCTGCGACACTTTGGTTTGCAGCCCGAGCTCAATCCACTGAGCTACACCAGCCAGGGCTCCTTTCAACTCTTGACCTCCAGGTTGTCTTCCCACTGGAGGCCTAAGCTTCCGGGGCTGCTCCTCCCCTTTACTACTCAGGCTCGAGGGTGGAGCAGACCCTTTCCGAGTCCTCAGTCGTCAGTGTAAACAGACTGGAATACTGAAGCGACTTCACGGAGGGCTTCGGAAAAGCACAAGGGAATTATGCACAAGAGGGGCTTAAAATAGATAGTTGTGGCTGCTCTTGCCCTGGTCTTTCTCAGGGGTCCCTTGCAAGGACTTCTGGTCCAGTGACTGCTGCCCCCTTGTGGCCAACACTCTCTCTCCCTATAGCCTCAGCTTGCACTTCACTGCCTGCAGTCCAGGCCCCAGACAACCTGTTCTCTCCTCTGTCCAGTCACTACTTCCTGCCTCAGGAGCTACCTTTTCCCTGGATGATGAATAGGGGGAATGTCCACTCCCTTTAGGGACTTCCCATCTTCAAGTCCTTTCTAGTCTAGGCGTCAGATCACAATAGTCCCACAGCAGTAAAAACAAAACATGGGTAGCCCCAGGCAATGGTCTCCTACACTTCCTGCTACTATTGATAAATGATAAAAGAATGCAGGAGGAGAGCATGACTTAGCCTACAAACATATGCTTGCCAGGGGCAGAATTGTAGGCACCAGTGGCATAAGTTTGTCATTTACACACACGGGCATAATTTGCACTCAAACTGATTGGCGTTAACTTTAAACAGCAGAGGATGAACCCTGACTGGTGTGGTTCAGTTGGTTGGGCACCATCTGCAAAGCGAAAGGTCACAGGTTCAATTCCCAGTCAGGCCCCAAGCCCCAAGCCTGGGTTGCAGGTTTGGTCCCTGGTCGGGGTGCGTACGAGAGGCAACCAATCGATGTTTCTCTCTTGCTTTGATGTTTCTCTCTCCCACTCTTTCTTCTTCCCTTCCCCTCTCTCTAAAAATAAGTAAAATCTTTAAAAAAAATAACCCAAACAAACAATAGAGGATGATTGGGCAAGAACAAGGTCAGACAGACTAGCCTGCCTCAGGTGTGACCGTGTGTCTGCAGTGACAGACGCTCTGAGTCACGGTGGTGATCCGTGGCCCACACATCATAGGAGATAGGTCTAGTGTCATTCACTGCACAGCCATGGATCGAGCACCTACCCTGTTTCCCTGGCGGAGGACCCGGAGTCCGCAGTCCAGTGGGGAAGGCTGACTGGGGAACACAGCACTGCAGTGCGGCAGGGCTCATGTGATAATGGAGACGTGACTGAGGGGTACAGCCAGGGGGCAGACCTGAGCTGCTGGGGGCAGCTGAGGCAGCTTCCCGGAGAAGCCATCCTTCAGTACGGAGAGAGGAGCAGAGTGACCCGAACCCTACCTCCTCCGTTCACTAGCTGCCCCAGCTGCAATGGTTCCCCATCATCTAGCTGGGCTCCAGGCAGCTCCTGTCCCCAGCACCAGGGCAATTCTAATCAACCGTTGCTGGCAGTGGCTGGGCAAGGGAAGGACAGGCTGAAAAGGCGTCATTCTTCCTCCACATCCCCACCATCCCCCAGGCCACCCCACGGGAGCTTACAGTATAAGTAAAAGTGGTGTGCTTTTTGCACGAACACAGCTTAAGGACAGTCCACCATCTTCTTCCCCCCCAGAGGACGCCTGAATTCCTCCAAAGTGGAGGACCCCTCAGGCCCTCCTCCAGTGGACTCCTGAAGTCTCTACTGTAAAAAGTCAAATCCTTTGCCCTTTATGTGTGTGTCAGGCAGGTTGGAAGCTTTCCAAGGTGGTTTGCTAGGGGATGTAAGGAAGAAACAAATGGAAATAAAATATTAGAAAAAGAGGAGAATAAAAATAGCCATCCATCGAGTGGAGCATTCAGATAATGACTTGGAACTCCACCCTCCTGCCCGGTGCCCCTCCTGGACGTGTGGACCCTGTGGCTGGCTGGCGGGGCTCTCCTCTCTGGACTCTGTCTGCTCTCCAAATGCAGATGTGGGCAGGGCTCCAAGGAGAGGCTGTGACGCGCAGTCACCATTTCCCCTTTATTCACCGAGTTCCCTCTGACAGTTAAATCATTCTGGCCTCTGAGATTCAGGATCTTACGGTTGGCACCTCAGGTAGGAAGCCACCTCTGGTGGCCAGGACCTTCTCTGGGATGGGGAGATTTGGTTTGACTGTGTTTTAGAAAATGCATCCATTTCTCTGGGTTCTGGAGATTTCTGCTCAGTTGGCTTTCTGCCTCCTCCTTTGTGACCGTGTATCCAATTCTGACTTTATATACGTGGCTGGCGGCTGTCGTTGGTGACAAGGAGGCATAGCCTCCTCACCTCCTTTGGCAAGGAAGAGGCTTATGCCTCCCCAGTTTGATGTTGACTGCTTTGCCCTAAGACTTTGTTTCCTGTGAAGCTGCAATACTGGCAGGAGAGAATGTGCTAAAGGGTGTGGATCTGAATGAACTTGTAGAACCTCAGGCCTGGAAACAACTCAGGGGTCATCAACGCTGCCTTCCTCAATTTGTGGAGGAGAGCACGGAAATTTAGAGAAGTAAATGGACCCTCTCAGGGTCACACACCGTATCCGTGCTAGAATCAGGACTGGATAGAAGAGATCCTTATTTCCAGTCTTGGTAACTGTCCAAAAGTTTTCAGACTGTTCTCTGACTACTCCTGGGGGTTGGGGGGGCCTCCTAGCAGCAGTCTGGGTAGAGGGGGCATCACCCTTCCCCTCTCCAAGAGATGGGAGGCTTTATTTGTTTTGCGTTTTGGGCTTCTGTTAAGATTTTGCTTCAACCAAGTGTTTCACAATTTAAAAATGATATTTGAAAACTGCTGAATGTTCCCGAGGATGTTTAGGAGGTGATTTCAGGAACCCAGATGGGGACTGCTCTCAATAAGCTTACACTTCCTTTAGACAGAGAACCAAGCATTTATTGCTTCTTTAGGGAGAAGGCTTAAAATGCACTTTAATGCTTCCTTGTTATCATTTCTTTCCCTCAGTAGATTCAGAATCAGTAGATTTTAAGAGGGCTAAGCAGAATCAGGAATCACATAGGAGGGGAAATGACATAGAAAGGGATACCCGGAGACAGGTGTGCTTCCTTCTGTCTTGCTTAATGCTGGCTTCTCCCACACGTCCAGGACTCACCTGCCCTCCCATCTGAGTGCCCAGACACGGCTGAGGATGTAGAAGGCCAAAGGAAGGACAGAGGTGGAATTATAGAGTCCAGGCAGTTGTAGGCCTGACCAGTGACCAAGGTTTTCCTCCCTGTAGTTCATCTCATTCCACACTCAGATAAGGCCTTGGGGTTGTGGAAGGTTGACCACATTGCCAGGTAGCGCTGACCTCTAAAGAAATCCAAGAAGGAAGCAAAGGAAGGGATCTCTGGTGGCCAAAGCAACAGAGAGGCAAAAAATATCCCAGTAACTGTTCTCACATCCTTGATGCGAGTGACTTGAATCTGAGTTATAAATCACAACTTTTCCTAATCTTTCAGCTAGATCGAATCATGAGTTTCGTTGTGGACGTTTCATTCTGGAATGATACGTATTGGGAGTATGCCTTTGAAAATTTCACCGGCACACCACCCACAGAACAATCCTATAGCCCCTGTCTCTTGGACACTGTGACCCTCAACAAGTATGCTGTGGTGGCCATCTATGCCCTGGTCTTCCTGCTGAGCCTGCTGGGAAACTCCCTGGTGATGCTGGTCATCTTACACAGCCGGGTCAGCCGCTCTGTCACTGACATCTACCTGCTGAACCTGGCCCTGGCTGACCTGCTCTTCGCCCTGACCTTGCCTATCTGGGCTGCCTCTAAGGCAAAGGGTTGGATTTTTGGCACATCGCTGTGCAAGATGGTCTCACTTCTGAAGGAAGTCAACTTCTACAGTGGTATTCTACTGTTGGCCTGTATCAGCGTGGACCGCTACCTGGCCATTGTGCATGCCACACGCACACTGACTCAGAAGCGGCACTGGGTCAAGTTCATATGCTTAGGCATCTGGATTTTATCCTTGCTCTTGTCCCTGCCCATCTTTATCTTCCGTGAGGCCTATCAACCACCTGATTTCCAGGCCCAGTCTGCTACGAGGATATGGGTGCCAACACAACCAAATGGCGCATGGTGATGCGGATCCTGCCCCAGACCTTTGGCTTCCTCCTGCCCCTGCTGGTCATGCTGTTCTGCTACGGCTTCACCCTGAGCACGCTCTTTCAGGCCCACATGGGGCAGAAGCACCGGGCCATGCGGGTCATCTTTGCTGTCGTGCTCGTCTTCCTGCTCTGCTGGCTGCCCTACAATCTGGTCCTGATGGCAGACACCCTCATGAGGCTCCGGATCATCGAGGAGACCTGTGAACGCCGAAATGACATTGGCCGAGCCCTGGATGCCACCGAGATCCTGGGCTTCCTCCACAGCTGTCTCAATCCCCTCATCTATGTCTTCATTGGCCAGAAGTTTCGCCATGGACTCCTCAGGATCATGGCCACCCATGGACTGATCAGCAAGGAATTCCTGGCCAAGGAGGGCAAGCCTTCCTTTGTTAGCTCTTCCTCAAGGAACACTTCTACTACCATCTAAGACCCCCACCCCTGTAGCAGCCCCACAGGGCTCCTTCCCTCCTGTCAGCACAGCACTCAAGACTCATGTCTATTGGCTATTCACAGTCTCTGTGTCAGGACAGCCCCCACTGAGGTCACAGGAAGTTGCTGAGGCCTCAGCCTTACCAGGCCCCATTGCACGGTTGAGAAAGCCTGCCCTGAAGCCTCGCCCCTCACTGTAATTGCTATGTTATCTGCGAGAGCTCTGTCCATCCTACCACTGAGCCATAGCACTCTGTCCTCGGAGACATTTCAAAGACATGCTTTGAAGTGAGTTCAGAAAGTTCCCAGCCTTGGGAGCCACCAGTGGCAAACACCACAGCTACTTCCCCAGCTCCCCCTTTCCTAGCTTTCTAGCAAAGTCTGCTTCCCTTGAGAGAGGCTGAAAATGATATATACCTCCACGAGTCTTTAAGCTAGGAGTGGTCACATTCTCTAGTTCTGACTAGGAAGACTTACAGGCAAGTGTGTGCTGGTAAACCAGTCCCCCAGGGAAACAAAAAGTCCTGCCTTCTAGCATTTGCCAAGTTCTATGTTATAACTGCTCCCACCATGGCAATTTCAAGGGTGGTGGTGTTTAGCAACCAGCTCACAAAATTCTGGAAAACGTAATAATCTGCATTGAGCAAAACATTGCTTAAAAGGAGGTCTGCTGGGACCAGGGGACTCCTGGAAGATACTCCTGATTGAAAAAAAGAGAGACACACCTTCTTGGATCTTGCCTTTGAATGTGGTTATAGTATATGATCTGTGGTATAGTATATGGCGTGGGGCAGCATTTTTGTGACTATGAGGCAAAAAGCCTAATATGTTTAGGCTGGTGGAGCCAAAGGATAATATGAAGCTGAGAATAAAGAGCCCAGAAATAAACCTAAGCATAAATTGTCAAATGATTTTGAACAATGGTGCCAAGACTATTCAATGGGGAAGCGATAGTCTTTCAACAAATGATGCTGAGAAAATTAGAAATCCACATGCATAAAAATGAAATTGGTCCTAGCTGGTGTGACTCAGTGGATTGAGCGCCAGCCTGAGAACCAAAGGGTCACTGCTTCGATTTCCAGTCAGGGCACATGCCTGGGTTGTGGGCCAGGCCCCCAATAGGGGGCGCAGGAGAAGCAACCATACATTGATGTCTTTCTCCCAGTCTTTCTCCTTCCGGTCCCTTCTGTTTAAAAATAAATAAAAAAATATGAAATTGACCTTTTACCTTATACCATGCACAAAAATTAACCCAAAATGGACTGAAGACCAAAACATGAGAGCTAAAATTATCAGACTCTTAGAAGAAAACATAAGGAAAAAACTTTATTTGGTTTGAAGTTGGGGATGGAATGAGCTTCAGGAATGGGGTTTAGGTCAAGGTTGAGATTGTGATCCGAGGGGGAGGTTAGAGCTGGAGATGTGGTGGCGGTGGGGAGCCACGGGTGGCATAACAGCTTGGGCTAGGGTGAAGGGTCAGAGTACAATGAGAGATGCAGAATAGCAAAGGTTAGTAATGATGTGAGTGAGATGTGGGGAGGTTCCAGATGGCACTGGGGCCACATATGGAGGGAGGCTTGGGCGTGGGATGGATGTGAAGGTGTCGTGAGTCTCAGGGAGGGGTGTTAGAGATAGAGTGAATGGCTGGGATGGGTCAGTGGCTACAACTGTAGCCACTGCTATTTAGTCCAGTCGGTGGCTGGAACAAAAAGTCATCACTGGTAGGGTCACCATCTTTTCTGGAGCATTTTCTAAAATGTGGCCAGGAAGGAGGTGCTTCTGCCTTGAGATTCCAAATTGGTTGGTGAGGAAGGAGTTAGGGGCACAAGCCCTAAGAAATGGATCTGATTAAGGAGAGAAGATAGGAGGATGCACACAAAATCCAGGGAGGAAGGCTGGGAACCTCTCTTTCCTCTTCTTCCCTCCTCTCAGTGCCTTCCTACCTCTTCTACTGTAACCCCAAAGTTCATCTTCCTCCACCTCAAAGCCAACTCCATCATGGGCTTCGGTAAGTGAATAAGGATCTATATGGGGTCTGGGGAAATACAAATGACTCATGCACACTGGAAAAAATGCTTGGCCTCATTAGTAACTTGGGATGTGGGAATCAAACAGCAGTAAGATGACTTGGAAATGTTTTAACAGGAGAGGAATGGAGTCGGATCGTCTTCAAACAAGTGCACCATTGTTCTGGTAGATTTGTTAATGCAGTGTGGAATTCTCTGGGTATGGCTCAAGTTCTAAATGATTTGGATTTTGGATCCGTAAAAGGGTGAGGATGTCGGTACTGAAATAGCATGGTGTGTTGAAATATCAAAGACTGGTATTTTGATCACCAGATATGGTAAGGGTTACATACCTGGTGAAAGTCAAGGAGAGAGGTCACCTCAGGGAGCAGCTAAATATTCAGGATGGTGCTGAGATCAGGGACAGGGTGCGTCTTAGGAGAGCAGTGGGGCATCAGAGATGGCAGAGAGTTTGGGACAGTTACAGATGTAGCTGTGAGCAAAACTAACTTTATTTCTGTGTCCCAGACTTCTTCCATCTTTAAGTTTTAATGTTGTGACCTTTAACCAACCTTACCGTCATTAGCAAGCATGTCTGTGGTTATTTAACTTACACAATGCAGCCTTGAATATTTTTATTAGTAGGAGTGGGAATGGCATGATAACGGGGTCAAATATAAACATCAAAATGATAACATCTATGATAAACAACCCTTTGTCACAAGACCGCCAGCAGGTATGACTCCTAGTGTGTACTGCATTCTTTGTCCCTTTGCCTTGTCCATCATTAGTCCTTAAGTTACACTGTAAGAAAGTACTGTAACAGGGGTCTGTTAGTGGAGAATACTCTGTGCAGATTGCTGGGTTGCCTGTCTGCTCCAACCCTATGTCGCTGTAAGTAAGTTACTCTATAATAAATTGCTATACTCTATGGAGTTGCCTGCATCATTTTTTGATCTTGAGGTACCTTCTCATTACGGTGGCCATTACACCTCTGCCCTACTATCAGACAGATAGGACTGGGGTTAAGGATGGGCTGAACATCAAGGATAGGGGTGTTAGGGGTGGGGGTGCGATGTGAATGCATGTTCTGCACAATGCTTGCTGATTTTTAAAAACTGAAAATTGGTTTTGTAGACTTGGTTAAAATGTCCCAGCCTCCAAGTAATTATATTGAAATATACTATTTCCCTGTATATTAGCTCCCCTCTAACAACCTCAGCATCCCTTGTCCCCTTATCTTAGTGGATCATTCTTACTAGTTCCAGCAAAATAATGATAACCTGGATATTACTCCATAGAGGTTTAAGCTCTTCTCTTTCCCAGCAACTTGCATTTTAAGTAGGGTCTTCCGGAGGCTGAAAAATCTCGTAGGTGCAGATGAGATAAAATGATCATCTCCTCTTTGGTCTAAGGGTCTTTCCAAAAGTGACCTGTAACCAAGAAGTTGTAACGGAATACAGCCTTTCGCTGTCTCCACGCAGAGGTTGGAGGGACCAAAGGTCTCTTAGTCTGACCCAGAAAGCTACGAGTAGTTAAGAGCTGAGTTCTCACCACCAGAGCTTTTATTCATCCTGGTGTTATGTTTAATTTTTCTTTAATTTATTGATTTTTAGAGAGAGAGAAACAATTTGTTGTTCCACTTATTTTTGCATTCATTGGCTGCTTCTTGTACATGCTCTGAATGGGGATACAACTCATAACCTTGGTGTATGTGAACCATGCTCTAATCAGCCCAGCGACCCTGCCAGGACCCATACTGACATTGTTTTAAATTTTATTATTTATTTTTAGAGAGAGGGAAAGGGAGGGAGAGAGGGAGAGGAAGATGGATGTGGGAGCGTTATGTTAATCGGTTGTCTCTTGCGTGGCCCGCAACCCAGGCATGTGCCCTGACTGGGAGTCAAACTGGTGACCTTTCTGTTTGTGGGCTGGCACTCAAGCCACTGAGCCACACGAGCCAGGGCTGGTATTCTGCTTTTAAATTCAAGATCTTTCTTCTAACCTTCAGGGTAGACATGAATTGAAGAATAAGAAATAAATAAAAAATAAACAGGATATGTTAACTTAGGCTTTCTAAAATTAGTCTTTCTTTTTTGTCAAAGTACTTCAGGTGCATTGTCTAGTTTTTATAAATATAGCTTATACTAAAAACCAGCAGCATCCCTCCTGCCGCACTCCCTGCAGGCAAATGCAACAATGTTCAGCTCTCATAGCTGTTTTCTCTAATAGTGGTCTACACATTTCTGAATACCATGCTTACACTGCTAGCTCTTGATTTCCCCCCAGTTTTAGATGCCACCTATTGGCTTGCTAGTTTGGCTTCAGAAGATACACCACTCTTCAGACTCTCTCCTGCTTTTACCCCTGTCCAGCGAACACCAAAGCTGCCTGTCCCCTATATCCACTCCCTTCTCCCAGAACATAGATACCATACATTTTGGTTAAATCAACATTCAATGTTTTTGTTTATAGTGATTATGTAAAAAATTATTCACAGTTGGGTACAATGTCTATGTTTCCTTTTTTTGTACAAGTTTTGTTTAACAATAGAATTTTTCCATGTACTTTTCATTATTTCAGTCCCAAATGTCCTCCTTAATGCATTCACATTCATCAGATAATCTATTAATTTTTTTCTTCCTTGAAGATCTCTCTCCTTCATAGTCCTGTTGCAGCCTGGACAGACTACTCACCCAGCTTGCTCCTTTTTCTCTAAATTTCTTTAACTATATTTTCAGATAAATTTTAAAATTTGCTTGTCAATTTCTATTTGGAATATTGTTATTCCAAAACAATATCCTACTGGGATTTTGTTTTGGATTATGTTGACTCTATAGATCAACTTGGATAAAATTAATATCTTAAGAATATTGAGTCTTCCAATTTATGAGCATAGTTCTTCAATTATTTAGATATTTTCTAATCTATCTTGGAAGAATTTTATAGTTTCTGGTACATAGATTTTGTACCTATGTTATTGGATTTATCCCTAAGTATTGATTTTATGATTATATGGATGCTGTTATAAATGATACTTAAAAAATTTAGTTTTAGTTTTTTTCCTTACTAGCATATGGACATACAATTGAGTTGTATATATTGACCTAGTATCCTGGGACCTTAGTGAGTTCAATAATTAGTTCTAGTAGTTTTATTTTTAAAGATTCTTTTGGATTTTATATGTTCACAATTAAGACATCTGAGAAAAAAGGCAGTTGATTCCTTCCTTTTCTTTATGCTTCTTATTTATTTTTCTTGCCTTATTTCACTGGCTAGGACCTATAGTACCAGGCTGAATAGAAGTTGTGAGAGTGGACATTCGTACTGTGTTCTGATTCTTAAGGGTAAAGCGTTCAATCTTTCTCTATTAAATATGGTTTAAGCTAAAGATTTTTTATAGGGATGCTTTGTCATGTTGAAGAAGTTTCTTTCATGAATGAGTGTTAAATATTCCTCTTTCTTTAAGGGCCTGGAATCTGGAGCCAGACTACTACTGCTTACAGACTTTGTGACAAAGAGCAGATTACTTAGCCTCCCTTTACCATTTTGTGAAATGTGGATAATAATAAGGCTTTACTAATTCCTATGAGGATTAAATTAAATGAGCACACACACACACACACAAGACATTTAAAAGGATGTCTAACATACATTAGGTACTATAAAAATGTTAGCTATCATTCTTTTAGTTTATCCCCTTATTTTGCTGGATTACTGGATTTTGCCAAGGAAACATATATAGGAGATAACATTTTGAAGAACTTGAATTTCCAAAAAAGTCTTGACTCTACTTTCATACTTGATTGGTATTTTGGATGAGTACTGAATTCTAGGGTTGGAATTTATTTTCCTTCAGAATTTTGTAGGCTCTTTTAATTTCTTCTGGCTTCTAGGGCTGCTGGACTTCTCATGCTATACTAATTCTTGATCTATTGTGTTCAACTGAATTTCCTCTTAGAAGCTTTTAGGATATTCTTTCTATCTTTTTAGTTTTAGAATGCACAATAACCTGCCTTTTTAAAAAATCTTTCATTCATTTTGCTGGGTACCTGGTAAAGCCTTTTAACCTGGAAACTCGGGTACTGTGAAATTTTCTTGTATTGTTTCTTTGCTACATTTCTATCCTTTGTTTTCTCTATTCTCTTTTCCTAGGATTTCTCTTATTTGGGTGTTGAACTCCCAAATTAAGTCTTTAATATTCTTATCACTTTCTGCCTATTTTTCAATATTTTTATTTTCCCACTTTCTATGAAGTTACCCTAACTTTTATCTCCTAGACCTTTCATTGGAATTTAAAGTTTCTGCTGTCATATTTTAAATTTCCAATGGGCTTTTTCCCCTGTTCCTTAATATTCCCTTTTATGGCCCCTCTTTCTTGGGTCACAGATGCAACATTTCCTCTTATCTTTCTAAAGGTATTATGAATTTTTTTGAAGATTTCATTAGATTCCTTCTGGGCTTTTTCTTCTGGTCTGATAACTCAGTTACCACTTTGTATCTACTTTCTGACTTTCATTTAAAAAAATCTCTTATCTGTTATTTTCTCTCTCATTTCTTTGTTTTTGTATTGTGTGGGATTATGCCTCATAACTACATTATGCCATTTTCAGTGATTTTGGAAGGGATCTGAGGTGAGAACATTGTTCCAATCCTCCATTTTTTTTGATACAAAATTATCCTGGATTCAAAAAAACAGCCTTACTTTAAAGTCACACTCAGATTGCTCTATTATCTTTAGTCCCTCAAGTGTGAATTCTCCTGTTTGTTATGTCAGCTGACTATTGACTGTACCAGTTGCCAGTTCTCTGTAATATTTGATTGTGAGCTCATCCCTTGAAGAGTGTTTTCATGGGAGCCTTGCTTGTGTCCTGGGTTATGAAGGGGTCGGGTCTTGGCTGTCCTTGATGGGCCCTAGTGAGTCACATGATGCAGAGCATTTTGTGCTATTGTCCTTGTTATCTGGTCCCAGGTTTCCACACCATTCCAAAGGGCAGATTGGGGTTCTCACCACTTGCTACTCAGGCTTGCGATTTTGAGCTGTTGCTCAGGTGGCCCTCTTTCTCCTCTTTCCCTCATAGCCTGGGGCAGGCAGCTCACTTAAGGGTCATGTCTCAAAGCTGAAGGTGTTTTTCTAGCCCCAGCCAAGGATGGGCCGGCTCTTCCCTAGTTCCTGGTTCTTTGCGGAAATCCAGTTCCAGTTCTTAGCTGTGCCTGGGGCCTGCAGATAGACCCACTGGTGTTACCATCCCAATCCTAGACCAGCTCTAGTATCCTCTTGTGTCCCCGTGGCTTCAATACCTGCTCCATGATAAATTAATATATTTTTAAGTTTACTTTTTATTTCTGGCCCTTAGAGATCTTAAGCTTTCTTTTCTATTTCTCTCTTTGCTTTTTATCTCAGATATTTATTTAAAAATTAAAAATACATGTTATCTAACATTTCTGTGTATGGTGTGTGTATATGTGTTGTTGCTTCCCATGCCTCCTCAGTCCACCATCAGGACGGAATGCCAGTAACAATTCAAATAAAAGGAAACAATTTCCCTTCCTGTTCTTTGTCTCCTTTCCTTAAAGATAAGCACTGTTAAAACTTTCTCCCAGTGAATTTTTTTAAAAGATTTTATTTTAGAGAGAGGGGAAGGGAGGGAGAAAGAGAGGGAGAAACACATCAATGTATGGTTGCCTCTTGTGCTCCCCCTACTGGGGACCTGACCTACAACCCAGGCATGTGCCCTGACTGGGAATCGACGGGTGACTCTTTGACTCACTGCCTGGTGCTCGAGCCACTGGGCCATGACAGCTAGGGCGCTCCCAGTGGATTTTAAAAGTCAACCTGAAGGACACATTAACCAGGTTTCTAGTTGACCGAGAGTGTGTATGTGTGTGTTGCATACGCACGTGTGCGTTGGAAGGAAATGACCCCATGTT